TTTCGTATCCAGACAACAACAACAACAACACTAGAGCCATAGCAAATCATTTCGAGACGATTGCTTATTGGATTAGGTTCGTTCTGAGCATCTTTCCAGATCGAATTGCATTGGAACTTCCTAAACTTCAGTACGAATCGCCGCTTTTTCGCGTTAGTGTTCCTATACACTCGAAGAGATCCTTGCTTCAAAACGGACATGAAATTTTTGGTGGTCTGGGAGCGTACCCTATGCAACTCCAAAATACGGCGAAGTATCCTAAGTGACATAAATGTAAACTACTTGAAGTTGCCAGAGATGAATAAATGGGAAAAGTCGTCCAACAGGAACTTCTTGAAATAGTATCAGAGCAGTTGTTATGGATACTTCCTTCACAGTTGCCTCGGAGGATCGTGCTCACTATACGACAGTCACCAAAATTCGTGTGAAGGATGAAAACTGAGGCGGAAGTACCTTTACAAACAGAAACGGCACTGGCTCTTACTTTATTTAATCCTCTAGAATATTTTTCTATCAATCAGTAGCAAAAAATGTCTGTAGCGGACGCAAGGCGCATCCCAAAGATAAGGACCAATATTGCAACATCGCAATATACTTTTCCTTGAAATACAAAAACAGTACAGGCTGCATCAGCTGGTAATTTCAACTGCTATGTATTGACTCTGACAATGAGTTATACCAAAGAAAGCGTAAAAACCATTGAAGAATGCAGCACTTTTGCATAAGCTTCATGGACTTCGCAAGATTGTTTCAAAGTAAAAACTACAGTACATACATATATATCGATGCAGGACCAACCTCGATATTGTGTCCGAATAATCAGTCATTTCACTAAGGTTTTCATAATCAGGCACATTACGCTTTACTTCCTCACAGTACGGGTCGTCTGGTCGGACTCGATAACCTGCAAAGAAGTCCATTGAGACATCGGTCAAACTCGTTATTTTTTTGTCTGAAAATTCGTTAATAGATCAGAGTAATAGTGAGTAACAGATAGTAAGTAAAGGTTAGTCTTACTACGAAAAATTGCTTATTCAAATTAAATTTGAGTACAATACAAACAGTTCCTCAACCAAAATAGGACATTTTCGCAGCTTTATAGGGAAATTCAAGAAGACGGACAAGAGCGTCTTTTTCGAGTTCACAAGAGGACCGCGTCCTTTCCATGGCTTTCAGGGTGAGCTTTTTCGACGCGAACCTGACCTTGTCAATATTGATATTCGCAAATATTGAGATATTTCTAGAGGTGTTGGAGCTAGGTAAACTGAATAGCAGAGAACCTCAGTATAATATTACTCACCAACAAATACAACTACTTATTTCCACAATAATAGTAATCTGAGAAATGTAAAAGAAGAAAGAACTGAAGGTGTATATAATTTTCTACATCCTTTCCAAAAGGCATTTGAAAAAGAATTTCAAAACTCGGGCTAACCACCAATTTACTTGTCCGGTGGGAAGAAGTCTGATCAGATATGGTCCACTGAACAAGGCGACATAGAAAATAATTGAAAAATTAGAAACTAAGTAAAACAATACATAAAAAATAGACAATTCAGAAATAATAAATAAACGTAAATTGAAAAATGAAAACAGTGAATTCTACTCGCCTTCGAACTTACCCGGAATTATTCCAACACATACAGGAAACATCATCGTAGGCTTCACTACACTTGGCATGCAAGCGCTATGGGTCTCTTACTGATTAACATCAATTGCTAATTAACTATTAATGTAGTAGTTGGGAAAACAACTACGTATCAACTACTATGAGCCATGGCCTCCTACAACTTCCAAGGTCCATGAATTCGGAAAGACAAAAAAGTCCTCCAAATGACAGTGGAAACGCTGATCACAGGGCTCTATCTTATGTACCAGTTTTTCCTTTTTGTTCTAAAATTCCGGGTCCATGCTTGACATACACACTCCTTGAGATCTCTTATTCATGACCCTGTGGCCGTGATTCTTCCTCAACTAACCGCTCCCAACTCCACAGAAAGAAAACTTATGTGGGTACTATGCAGGTAGGAGTATCGACTTCCACCTCAGTCATATGCTTACCCACTACTCCCTAAGAGGCGTACCGGATTGAATACTATCAGCTGATTCATGGCTAATTTTAGTACAGCAGACGGACTGCATTGCTCAAATAACAGTTCATGACCATATTGGTTTTACAGATTATGTACTGGAGAGTGTTCGACCGTTATGAGTCCGACATATGGTGTGAGGTGTGCCAGGATAACGTTTGGAAAGAGATCGACATTGAGAGAACAAATTTTGTAAATCCCGCCCATCACTGATAAGGGAGAGGGCGGGGGTGACGAAATTCCAGCCCTTATTACTCACTTTCTAGGCCAATTTTACTTATTATGATGGCACGTATTTGCTCACGAAGAGCCAACGATTCCTCTTAGGGGATTCACTTTGGAACATCTTTTAGCCCTCGATATCTATGGTCCCCTCTTATAAAAAGTGGGTTGATTGGCAAATACTGGAAATAGGTACCGTAACCGTAGCCAACTTACACTTTAAGGGGATGTAGCCCCAAAATACCTGTCTTATGATGAGGGATCTTTTTCCCGGTAGCATAATTCTCCTCATTGTTCTCCTTATCAGCCCAGGGAACTGATCATTCCACACGCAAGAGAAGAAGGCAGGAATTCAGAGAGAGAGCTAGTAGAAGCAGTAAATGAAATGTTACCTCCTCGCCTGGCCCTTGTTGCACATCGGAGAGTGCTACGGGGTTTCATCGAGCACAGACTAGTCGGAATACAGGGCCAAGGACTTGGAAACGGTCCTGTGAAGCTGAGGCGTGAGCAGAGCTCTTATGATTGAACACAGGTGTAGGAGCAATGTAGCGGAATCACTTTTTAATGGCCGAACGACGAGGCGCCGTGGAGTACACAATGCCGAAAAACTGACAACACCGACAAGCGAACGTCGTGTTCTGTTGGTCGCGGACGCAGCAGACGGAAAAAACACACTCGTCCTAGTCGCCTTTTCTCACACTGAGAACAGAGAGCGAAGATAGATGAAAGCCCCATTCAGTTGGTGATCCGAAAGCTGCCAGCCACATTCCACACACTCACGCACATATTACAGCATCACGACTGCAGTGGTGGAATCGTCAAAAAACATGCATGAAAACAGCTATGATCATTTGTCGTAGCCCATTCAGACTAGGTGTACTAGGGCTGACACTTAGAGAATAACATTCAAAGGAATTAGGGTTGCTCACTGACAAATAAATCAACAACAAACAAATAAACAAGTGAAGAAGTAGATAGTAGGGTAATAATCAATGTGTAATAAGTAAACACGAATAAATGAAAACTGAAATTTAGGACCCACGGCTAGTCGCTTTGAAGTCTGTACGAGTTTGACCACTTAGGTCGTGCCCCTGAATGTGGGCTGGGCTTCACCAAAAGCAAAATAGAACCCTTTGCTGGTCCTTCGAGACTTGGTGAGGCAACTCCAGTGGCACCATGAGGTGCAGCTTCCCATACTGCTAGTTAGCCTTCTTTCAGAACCAAGTGGGGTAAATTCTAGGTTTGTTTTTCAAGACTAGCTAAAGCGAGCAATTCAGCCGAAAAATCGAAAGTTTCATGAATCCTGGGAGAGGTACCCGATATGATACTCTGCCTTGCTATGCCTAACCCACTACATCTGAACGGAAATCGGAAATCGAGTCATGAAGTTCCGACGGTAGATTAGGCACATGCTCATGAGTCTATTTGTTCACTTGATCCCCCCTGGATGGCCTGGAAGGTTGGCCCACCACACAAAGCTGAACTGGCACGTAGTGTCTCCCATCGGTTGGCACTCCATAAATTTCGGGAAAGTGAGCCCACGAGTGGGAGGGAGACCTCAGATTGCCCGCCAAGCCATTACAGGTGTTATAAGGCAGGGAAGTACATATCTCCAGGATAAATAATAAATTCTAAAATTAAGAGAGGTCTCCAGGAAGTTCGGTCGATTGCATTAGCTGAACGATATCTCTGACTATGCATGGAAAAACTTTTATGGTCTTCTGACAAATGGGACGATTTTATCAGAAAAATGTCACAGATAAAGCAATTCATTCAATCAAACAGCTAAAAAAATGATTTCTTCGTCTTTGCCAGAATGCCAATTTTAGCGAAAGTTTTATTGATTTGAATTCAACATTATTACCGTAATGATTTCTTTTTCAAAACTTTCCCCTTCCATACTGAGAACTATGAAAGGTGAGCGGTGGAAATATGAAAGCCCCGAAGCCAAAAGAAATCCGCTTCAGAGGCATTTCCCAAAGAGATAAACAGTTGTTTGACTGTCTGCATTAAGTAAACAAACAGGTACACAAGCAAACAGAGGGATAAAGAATAAGTTATCCAAAGCTCCAAGAAAACAATCAAGCATTGATGGAGACGGAGCCTATCCTTTCCCTCATTCGAAGGCCCAGTTCCAGATTCACAGTGCCCTCTTTCCTTAAAACCTCGGGGAGACAAAGGAAAGCACAATATCAAATCGCGTGCACACAATAGCTAACTTATAATTTTAAAAAAGTCCTAATTATTCGGACAAATAGATAAGTAGATCAACCAAAAAGAAATGAAAATCAGAAAAAATTTAAAAAGTATTTTTTAAGTGAGAGAAAAAACAGTAAATCAAAGGCAGAAGCACTTACTTAGAACTCGAGTAATCCAGTAAAGTAATCTCATATTAGGTGAGGTAGACTGTGACAAATCTGGTAATGCCATCTACACCCTAGCCGTCACGTAACTCTACCCTTCAGATTCATTACCGGTTGCATACATAATCGGTACCCGAAGGAAAACCGATGCCCTCCCTACATGGGTAAACACGAGGTCGCACCTGACACGACCTTGGGCGATAGAAGGCTCCGCTTCAACAAATTGGGTTATGCTACCTTATTCATGCGGTTGTGAGGGGCATTTTACGGGAGCAAAAAGTAAGCGCAGTGCAAACTAAGCGCTTACATGGAGTCTAAATCTGGGTTATTCCTACTTTTGAACATAAACGTAGCCTGAAATAGCGAAAAAAGAAGGAGGTTGTCAACGAGCTCTCCTTTGACCAACAAGTAGATGATGTGGGAAAAGAAGCAAAGGGTAGGGTCGTTCAGCGTTGTGGTAAAGAAGGTCCTTTGGCGATCACAGCCCGATTCATTAAGTATGTGTTGTTAATCCGGGCAGATCTTTTGTTCCCTCCATTGAGTATGCTCTACGGGAGCATATCGAACAAAAGGATCTATTGAGAGCATCATGGGACAGGAAGCAAGGAAAATGGATTCCCACAAAGAGTTCTGGGCCCAAATTAGTCTGAAACTGAGGGAAGGGCATATGAACACCCTTTTAAATAGCCACGTGAGATTAGAAGATCTCTTACAAAGCAGTTCAGTCATTGTTCGAAACAACTGGACGGAAGCTTTATTGTTCTCCTTACCCTACCCAAATTTATTATTATAATATGTATTATATTCCCCTTACACAAGCCCCTTACACATATTTAGTCAATCCGTTTCTCTTAGACAAAGGCTTTCCATATGAATCCTAACCGTTTGAAAAACAGCCCAACATGCCGATAACAGGGATACAGGTGGGTACCAGCACCTTGGAATGCGCCATGAATACACCTTCCTGTCAATATTCAGGAGGAAGGAAATGAAAGAATAAACAAAATATAAAGAGTTGGAGGTTTGGAAGTTTGCTTGACTGTCTAGAAATTCTCGAAACTTTCTGAAATGGTAACCTCAAGCTGTCTGGCAGATGTGACGACCCTAAAGAGCTTCAACAAAAAACTATCTGAAACCAAGAAAGTTCACAAAGGTAGTGCAGATCCACAAAATGACCATGTAGGCGGAGAGTACACTATAGGATTTTCTTATGAGCTTTTTTTGTCAAACGCTATCAGTGTAGTGTCTAAGAAATGAAGAGAAATTTGTGAGAGCTCCGTCGGTCCGCTGTTGCGGAGGGATAGGAAGGGTCCCCGAAGCCAATGAATCGGAAGAACGAATCAACAAATCCAACCCAAATAGAGGCCAAAACTTTTCCATACCAACTAGGAAGGCAGTCAACATCAGCGTGTGACTGGGAATACATTATATCAGACCCAATGACAAATACTTACATATTTGATCACGGTATAGAGTAAATGTGGGTTTGTAGTGAAAGAATCGCGTTGAGTAGGACTGGGCCTACCCTCCCATCTCGTCAGATTGAACGATTCCCGGATGCTTTGATTCAGATCCGGAAGATTTAAAATGTATATACTTTTTCAGATAATCGAATTTGCACGCTGCTACCTCAAAAACCACTAAATTCGGATCAGTCTGAGGCGTAACGAGAGCAAATTCGGTCGCACACGGGATCGGATAGACCTGCTTTGGACTTGACAGTGGAAAATCACGAGAACGAACGATTAGTTACGGTAAACTGCATTTCAAAGAATGAAAAAACAAATAACCTTCATCGATGACCGTGTGTTCCCGTATATCCCGAGAAGAAAGAAAATTCAGATTGCGTCAGTGACGATTAGTCACAAAAGTCGATGGGGCCACGGGATCGGGAGGACCTGATCACTAGAAACCACCGATTAGTTACGGTTAGCTTGATCGGGAGATTCGGACTGGAAATGATTTTTGGGAGTAATCGAGATTTCACGCTCACACTCGAAAAAAG